GTTTCATTAGAGAAGAACCTATCCAGAAGACCTATACAATTTTTTTCTTTTTGATTTTTTACCTGGATTACTGAGATGCATCAGGACATCTCAGCACCACTGCACAGATCAGAAAGTGAAGAAACTGCATAGAATGTTCAGTTAATCGTGTATAAAAACTCCTTCAATCTGCACTATGCTGCTTTAAATTAAGTCAAATGTCAGGTATCAGGTTATGTGGGGAACATTGGGCCTCATGTGTAGGGGTCACCTCGAGTGAAGAAACAAGATTTACTGCCTCGAAGCAGGCCTCGGACAGGCCTGACGAGAGGACAGGAACTCTTGTCACAAACTGAACTCCATTTTAGGCCATGACAGGTCATTTTAATCTAGAAGATAATTTCTCAGTTCTCTTAATCAGATAATGGACAGGACAATCTCTTCTGTTCGTGATTCATTTGTTGTTTAACTAAGAATGTTTATGCATTTGTTAAACCATGATAATGACTGTCACAAGAAAAGTGGAACCACTTCTATCCTTTTATCRTGCCTTAAAGATTAATAATGGTATAAAAAATCAGAATCTCATTACAATGTTTTCATTGTGTTTTATATAAATCACTGTTTTTATTTTACTGTGAACACAGTAATATAATTGTGGATTTTTCCTGAGAAAATCTTTCATCTATCTGGACTAACAGAGGGTTCAGAACTGATTATAAAACAGAAATGTTAATTAATCATCATAAATGTTTTGCTGTGATTTCTCTTAGAGTCTACCAGAAGGAAGCTAAAGAGGTTATCATGATGTTGTTGAACAACCACAGAATTTAATCTTGACTGGCGCCTGGCTGGCAAGTCTTTATCTTTCTTTCTTTCTCTGACTCATCTCTAAGCCTGAGGGTGGAACCAAAGATYRTCCGTTTCTATTACTAACCCGGACGTCTTTGCCTGACACACTCTTCTTCCTGACGCCRAACTAGGAAGAAAGCTGGGTTTCTCTCCAGAGAGACTCAGTTTGGGTTGTTAGGTCTTTCCCATGAGCTAACTAGGGAAGAATTAACAGCCGGGACCCCGGACGCCACCGGCGGTCCCACCCAGAGGCTTCAAGCCTCCAAGAGTGTTTTTAACTCCCGAGGGGATATTTTATTTTGAAAGAAGGAACCGGATGTACAGCTTGAATCTTTCTGGCTTGGACTGAAACAGACGAAAAGTTACCTGGAAGACACCTACTCTCCAAGGAACAGTAAGCGAGCCAATACAAAAAGTTCCCTGACTGATCATAGGTGAGACAGTTCCTACCCAGGGGTGATTCAAGAAGCCATCACCAGGTAAAACTGAAGCGTTCGGGGTGACGTGTCATGTGGAAATCTAAGTGACCAGAAGGGACGTGCTGATCCGGTTGACCCACACTTTGATAAAGTAAAAGTAGAAAAATACTAACCTTACTTTCCTCCTTTCCTTGTTATTAATTTGCCAAAACTTAAGCTAAAAGTGCCAGTAAAATAGTTTGGTTGTTAACATCAGAACTGACGTTTTACTGTTCTGTATAAATAATCTGAGTTGATGTGAATTGAAATTCGGACGTGGATTTTCATCTCATTTAACTTTGACACCTTTTATAGGAATAACCACAATCAGGTGTACTTATGATCTGTTCAATTTGTGTAAATAAATGATTGCATAGTCTTTTATGARTCAACTTGAACTCGTCTGAACGTTCACTTATTGTGTCACTTTTCACTTCGCACAGTCAAGATATTAAAAGTAAAGAGAAATACCTTGGTAAAACTTTCCTCAGAACCTTGTGTATGAGAGATGTGGGAGAAGCTTAATGCCACCTTAAGCCCACCTCCTACACATGCAAGAAAATTTTCAGATTTTTATCCTAAATTTCTCTTACTTTTGTCCATACAAAGGATTTGTATGGACATGCTATGTCAGCTTCAACAAATGCTTCTATTTTCAGGACAAGTGTGTAAATGAGCAGAATAAACCTGATGAATGCCACCTGTATGTATTCAGGTGCACGAGGAGAGGAAATTAGCATAATTACCGCCCCAGTAACACCATATAAGGCTACACTTACATGTAAATGGCAGCGCAAAGCAAAAAACATCTGTCATTTTTAGAAGCATCAGCCGTGGAATTAAAGAACCTGCTAAAGCCAAGGAATGGGAAGTAATAATGACAGCTGTTGRATAAAAATCTAAAACATATTCATCTCTCTAGTCCTGCTCTGGTTTTCCTTTGGTCAAATACTTTTAATTTAATTTATGTGGAAGAAATGGGGAAAAACTGTGTTAAATAATTTTCATTTATTCAGAAGAAGAGACACAGCCCGGACCATCTTATGTACCAGTCCCCCACACACAAGTGGTGTCAGATGCAGTTCTGAAGAAGCAAAGCATTTTAAAATGTTTCCAAAATATGTCTGGCACTTTGGAGAAAATAGCCTACAGCATTGCAGCTGATGTGCTGAATATATCTCAACAAAATAAAATTTGATTWAAAAAATTATGTCTGAATAAAGCTGTTGATTATGTTCACTTCCTGTTGACCTGATTATATACTTAGACAAATTAAACTTCAATTAATGCATAGTTTAAGCTGGTTTGTAGTTTGAGATCTTCATATTAATATTGTTTAATATTTTAATAAGGTGTGTTATACAACAGCGTTAACAGCCAGTTTAAATTATATCGGTTAGGTTAGGGTTAGGGTGAGCAGGGTTAACCACAGCCTGGAGAGGATTGTGAAACAAAACCCATTCAAAAATGTGGGGGAGATTCACAAAGAGTGGACTGCAGCTGGAGTGAGTGCTTCAAGAACCACCACCACGCTGGCGGTGTGGTGGGGTTGTCATGGGTGTGGCTCCTCTGTGGCGGGGGGCTGGCCGGGCGTCCTGGTGCGGCCCGGGCCGGGCCTTGGCTATCTGCTCCTCTCCACCTCAGAATGATTGGGTCTACCTCCTGGGTTTGGGTGTGT